TTAGGAGCTGGTTGAACGGACATGGGGAATCAGGGGTGGAAAGGAGGAGTGTGCTGTCACAGTAAGGGGAGAACAATTAGGGTCACATAACAATGTATGTATAAATTTTTGTATGGGAGACTAACTTGAAATGTAAACTTCATTTAAACTACAATAATAAGAAATAAAACAAAAAACCAAACCCACTGCCGTCAAGTCGGTTCCGACTCATAGCGACCATATAGTACAGAGCAGACCTGCCCCATAGTTTCCAAGGAGTGCCTGGTGGATTTGAACTGCTGACCTTTTGGTTAGCAGCCATAGCACTTAACCAGGATTTCCCATTAGCCATTAGGGAGATGAAAATCAAAACCATAATGAGATATCATTTTATACTCATTAAAAAACTGAAAACAACAGATGTTGGCAAGGTTGTGGAGAAACTGTAACCCTCATTCATTGCTGGTGGGAATGTAAAATGGTACAGTAACTTTGGAAAATAGTTTGGCACTTCCTCAAAAAGTTGAACATAGAACATACCACATTACCCAGCAATCCCAATCCTAGAAGAATCCTAGAAGAAGTGAAAGCAGGAACTCAAACAGAAACCTATATACCAGTGTTCATTGTAGCACTTTTCCTAACAGCCAAAATGTGGAAACAACCAAAATGTCCATCAACAAATGAATGGATAAACAAAATGTGATATATACACACAATGGAATATTACTCAGCCATAAAGAGAAATGAAGTTCTGATGCATGCCACAATATGGACGAACCTCAAAAATATGCTGAGTGCAGTAAGTCAGTCGCAAAAGGGCAAATACTGTATGAACTCACTTATATGAAATAAGCAAATATATAGAAACCAAAAATTATTAGTGGTTACCAGGGGTGGGAGAGAGAGGGAAAAGGGGAGTTTTGGCTTAGGGGGCATTGAGTTTATATTCATGGTGGTGGAATAACTTGGAAAAGGATAGCAAAAATGGTTACATAACTTGAAGAATATAATCAATACCACTGAATCATACATGCAGAAATTATTGGTGTAAGTTTTGTTGTATATATTTTCACCAAAATTTAAAAAAAAAGAAAGATTTGCATCCCCCCCCCAAAAAAAGGGAAAGTAATATAAATGCCTAATATTGATAAGGAGCCCTGGTGGTGCAGTGGTTGAGAGCCATGGCAAGCTATGGCTGCTAACCAAAAGGTCAGCAGTTCAAATCCACCAGTTGCTCCTTGGAAACTCTATGGAGTAGTTCTACTCTGTCATATAGCATCTCTGTGAGTCAGAATCAACTAAATGGCAATGGTTTTTTTTTTTTTTTGGTTTAATATTGATAAAGCAAGAGAGAGCAGTATATTATTTAGAAATATGGAGGTTAACTACCAAAATAAATAGCTAAAAGATAGAAGTGGTTGCTTCTGAATACTGAATGGGAGGGGGAATAGAAGATGTGGACTAGGGAACTCTATTTTTCATTACAAGCACAGTAACCATGTAATTTACTGTTCAAACCAGAACACTTGTCAGAGTGAAAGGGGGCATTGTTAGTAACTATGCCAAGGCAATAGGGATAAACTGGGACTTTCTCTGGCAAGCTGGGACTACAAGTATCCTAATTATAAGCTTCTAAGTACTATTTGGTTTCTAACAAAGTAAGTGTTCTACTTTGATAAAACACTTTAGATAGGTAGTTGGCTTCAAAAATTTAACCCCCTTAGAGGGGTGGGGGGGAAATACTAAACAGGCAATAGATAAGTGGTATCTTGGGTGAAGGGTGAGACAGTACACAATACAGGGGAAACTAGCACAAC